GAACGGTGTAAGATAATCGAATTCTGCGAGTTGTGCTGTGTTGAACAACTCAAGATCTACGAAGTGCAGATTTTTCGGTATCGAAGTTATGCATCAGCCGTTACGAATTTTTATAAAAAGTACGATTTTTTTAAATTGTAGCGTAACTTCTATCATAGATGTGTTCGCAACGAGATGTTATAGCAGACTGAGCGGCTGTCGTTGCTACGTGCTCAGACACGTTTACGCGTGTCTCGCGCGTTTTATTTTTAATGTAACCTCGATTATTTTACTTATCCCTATAGTCTACTAGCCCCTAAGGTCTCTCCTAACTTACAGTAGGGGAGACCGGGGTCAGTAAACTATAGGGGTAAGTAAAATAATCGAGGCTACGTTATAAACAAATCGCGCCAGACACGCGTAAACTCGTCTGAGCACGCAGCAGCGACTGCCGCTCAGTCTGCTGTAACATCTCGTTCCTAACACATCTATGATAGAAGTTACGCTACAATTTAAAAAAATCGTACACCTAAGTAAACATTTTTATTCTTAAAGTTTTTGTTTTACAATTGTATATAATTGTCTGAGATATTTTATTTCCATTTAGGTAGTAAGCATAGTTCTTACTTAATAAAGTCCAACAGATTTTTTTTGTTTATCTGGTTTTGTTGTCGTATACTGTTAATGTTTTTAAAAAATGAACGGATGGGGCTAATAGGCTAACCACAATACGAGGCTATATGATTAATTTAGTGACGACTCTGATAGTATCTACTCCCAAACTTCTTGAAATGAAATCTCGATACAAATTGATAGAAATCTTATCGTTCTCAATCATTCTCTATCAACTTTTTTTACCAGTAATAATAGTTAAATTACATGTATAAGAAATTTTTCATGCATATGTATAAATATGTATAAACATATATAATATGATAAATTATATACGTTTATGAACATTTATACATAAACATGTATAAATATTCATAAACATATATAATTATATATGAAACATATCCATATATGTTCATA